TCTCTAACCGAAATTCATAACTTGTTAATATCATATTCAAATTACTTGAAAATGTTTTCATTGAAATAATTTCTTTTCCTACTCTAGATGTATCACTTCTCTCGATTTGCTATTGAATTAAATGAAATGGAAGAAGGTGTTGCACCAACTGACTCAAGACGTAGACCTGATCAACGTCTTATGGAACAAGGATTATGGGATCAAGCAAATGAAGAAAAAAGGCGCCTTGAAGCGAAACAAAGAAGTAAACGACATGCATGGGAGAAAGCAGTTAGAGAAGGTATTATTCTGATGTTATTTTAATGCAGAATTGTATCATTTATTATTTGCTACATCATTTACGAAACCAAACTTGATCGTCAAGTCATAAATTTTAACTTTTCTACATCATGGACTAATGAAACTAGGATAGGTAAAATGTCAACTAACTTAGTTTTAGTTAACCTTATCATTTCATTTCTAAATGGTATAAAATACAATATTGATGGTAAACAGTTTAATTTATAAGACTACACTTCATTGTTATAAATAAGCTTCTTATCCACAGCCTCTTTAGCATATGTTTAATACCTTATTACAATGAAATTTTCACATTTACGTGTTTTATTCCATTTTCTAGTCTTCTATCAGTTAACAATTAAATGAATTAGCTATCTATCAATAGCATTTAGTTCAGAGACAATGCTTTTGAAGGATCCGTTATTTAGTTTAGTTTACCGTACAGTTTTTTGATCACTGATGCAGCAGCGTACAAAAAAACAATCTTATGTTTTTACTTCATAACTTGTAAACTGATTTTATTTCACTAGTTGCCTGATTTTTAGATATCACTAAGCGTTAGTGTTTGGAATTTTAGTAACGCTGCCTATTAATTGTCTTATAGGTCCGGAAAGATTTACTTGTTTGAAGATTCATCTATAGTGGGAAAAGTAAAAAACCGTTTCTCAACGTTATAAAATTTTTCCATATTTGTTGTTCGGACATGAAATTATATTGTTTAGGAATTGGGACAGTGTTGATTTAATTTGAGTAACTGACCTTTGAGTTAGGAAAAAAAATATTTATTCGGTTTTTGAAGAAGGATAATCGAATTTCAGGAATATAGACTTTCGACTATTTTATCTGTCATGGAGTTACCTTAGTTTGTGGTTTGATATATGTATGTATATATATAATCCGTGTCCAGCATATCCTCTCGACTACCTCTAACCACTTGATATCTCAATATAGTGCACGCGATGTTGAGTCACTTAAAGTAGTAGACACAACCCTATATAATTTGTTGAATCCAATCAACACTAAGGTACTAAACAAACATGAAACTGGTCATTATTCAGTAAAAAGAATTATATATATATATATATATATATATATATATATATATATATATATATATATATATTTGCTATTTTTCTTCAGGTCAAACAGATGAACCATTATTCACACCAGTTTGGTTTTCACCAAAATATGATGTCAATGGTAATCTATATCATGAATATTTAGGAAACTATTGGAAATCAAAAGAACGACAAGATTGGTTAAAATGTCCAGATATTTATTGAAAAGTTTGTTTCTAGATATTATTTTCAATTATTCTTGTAGAAAGTGTGAGAAATTATTTCAGTACAGAAAATTGTCTCTGTGCGTCAATAAAAACTGTTTTACTGTCTTTCCTGTTCACCTTGATAGTTAGTGTCGTTGAATCCTATGACATTTTTTAAACATTTTCGTTTTGTTTATAGTTTATGTCTTTTAGAAGATAAAGAAAAGTAATAATTCTGATCTGTAATTTGTAATTCTTGTTATTGATATTTATAAGATAGTCTTAATTCACATTAACTTCATTTTCTGTTTCTGTTCTGTTTTGACGTTTTCATTCTCACTTTCCCCCCCACTTTGTTCTGTTTTGTTGAACTACTGTCATCTCTTCATTTCTTTATCTATCTGTCTGTATAACTGATCGAATTCTCTACGTTGGGCTTTCACTATTTTCCTTAAACATTAGCCTATTTTCGTGTTTCTTATTGAACTACTGATTTATTGTAATAAGTAGGATGTTTTATGTATAGGTGCATTGTCGTGTACTTTATTGTAAATAAATGCGTATGTGACTTTGATTATTCCATTTTCCGAACCTCTGCATCTACTAAACTTTTATCATAGTAGTATTATTTTTAACTATAATCAGAATATCGATTTCATTAACATTTATAAAAAATGTATGCTAAAAAGTTGCCATATGGGACTTTGTCGAAAATCTTAAGGCCTAATGGTGATGAGAATCTTTAGCATGAACCATTGATGATCACATTTTATTTTCACATGACTTTTGTTATAAGAGTTAGTGTCAATAAGCGTCGGCTACTGTTTATTTTGCTTAACACCATTATTATTAGGGAGAATAAATTGTTCACTGTGATGATGATTACGATGATTGTTTATTTGTTCTTGTTTAATTTTGTTAATTTATAAACCTACATGCTCTTTATATCATTTTCGCCACATAGTTGACCAAGGTTGTTTGGGTGTTGCTTTTCTTTTATTTTGTGAAGTGATTTTTTTTTACCTTTCTCTTCGTATTTATTATTTTACATTTCAGTACTGTTTTCATCCTTTTTCTGCCTTATTTTTATTGTACCAATTTTGTTGTTGTGTATTCGTCTCATGTGATCAATTGTTAACTTCGCTGATTACCAACACACTGTTTTGATGATTTGTGCAAATATATGTATTAAATCTTATGAAATCAATATCTTTACTGTTTCCTGAAATTCTTTTGTACAATAAAAAGTTGACAAAGGAAAATAGGAGACATTTACAAGTTTGTTTCCAAATATAAGTATATAGATAATTTAGTTTGTTAACTTAATGCTGTTTAGATGCAGTTTGTATTTGTCATTTGGTTCACTTATGGTTTATTTTCTCTTTTTTTACCAACACTAAATTGTTCACTCTTTCAACTTTTTCAACTAAATTTGCTCATTTACGCGTGTAAAGATGTATTTTGAAAGTAAAAACGCCTTTTTGGTTTTATAAACTATACCTATATAAACTACTTCATTTTCTGTTATATTGTACTGTATGACCAATCAGTTCTGTTTATGAATTTCTGTATTATTTATTCTACTGACTTTCTTTGACTTATATTGTGCATAATTTACATCTTTTATCAATATGTTTTCTGCTTATTACTTCGGTTATTTTTTCTCTTTAGTTTGTTTTTATTTTAGCAGCCTGATTGCCAAGATTGAATTCAGTTTATATTGTTTTTTTCTATAAACAAAATTGTTTTTTTTATTCTGATAAAAAGAATCAGAATTATTTGAATACGATTTTGTATTTTCTGTACTTTGCTATTGCTAACTACCAGTTACGAATAGATAGGTAGGTGTACATAAGTATGATTTGCCCTCAATCGCCCTGGTACTGCCGAGAGTGGGGAGAGTTCGCTCTCCCCCTCAAAATGCTCTCACATGGCCACGCGTATATAGCCACTGTCAGGGAAGTCCTTTTCACTGCCTTCTCGTGGCGGGGGTGTTGTTTACGAAAATGAGAGGACGAAAAGCGAATGTCCGGCGCTTTAACCGGATCCCAAACCAATGGTGCACATGGGCTCCAGTATCCTGAAGCAACAAATGGCGTATGAACCAATCGCTGGTCACCACTGACTGCCATAGGACTGCATCTCCTTACGATGCTCCACTGTCTTGTGGGTCAGACGTTCAGGTCGAAGGCTCGGGGTGTGACCCATCCAAGAAAACCACCTGCTTCGGTTTGGGCACCCGGGCAGTATCACAGCCCTCACACATATCAAATGAGATCTGTGTGGCGCATATGTATTTAGTGGCTCCTTGTACCAATACCTATGTGTTCAAATAAATAAATCTGGAAATACTGTTTTTCTTTGCCAATTATCATTATCAAAGTATTTTAGTAAATTTTTATAATCGAAAGTTATAATGAAATAAAGAATGTTATACAACAAAATATGTAATACTTCATAGTAAATATTTCACATATTTTTTTGTACCTAATTACATCTTTGAATAAATAAATAAAAAGTTAGGTAATAAATCATTAAAGGTGTCCTTTTCTTTTAATTATCGATTTTTACCATAATATACTGAACTAATACTAGTACTAACGAATTGTAAAGCAAAGATTTGATTTCTTTAAAAATAATTTTTAGGATGATTATTTTATTTTATCATTTATCTAATATATGATTTAGTTTTTAACAACATAAATGTATACATTCATCAAATGTTACACAGAAAATTACATACGAAAATAAGATTGAAATGAAAATCTTATGAATAATCTAATTAGGAACAAAATTTCGATTGCTTTAATTTCATTCACATTAATGATTGGTTTCGATTGTTCCTGAATGAATACATGTATATGTTTTTTTTGTCGGCTTACGTTCACTCTGTATATATATTATGTTTCAATAGTTTTCTTTCAGAATTATACATTTTAAAACAAACCACATCTATCTATATTTTCTAATTGAAAATAATCTTCATTTCAATAATTTCAATCAAACAATAAAAATGAATACTAGGACGAAACAGCCGTCTAGTGCTTCCAGGTTTCCAACGGTGGTCTAACATCAGTCGATTCATGATCTCAATAAAAAAAGTCAATGTATATTTATATTTATTTACATGTGTAAAGCGTCATTGAATAATTGATTGTTTGAATTGAATTAGACAGCTATTCATATATGTACATGTTGTTCAACGATTTCGCATGATCCTGATGTGTATTATTTTGTTTTGTGGAAATCAACGGTATCAAAAAAAAAGTCTCTTAGAAACAACAAGGAAATTATTGTTAATGGTATTGAATGAATCACACAAGGAATGTAAATGTAAAATGACAAATAGAACGTAAACTCAACTAGATGTCTACAAAATGAATTCATACATTTAGCAATAATTCAAGAAAGAAATCAATCATCGTGAAAAATAATGCAATTAATCGATCAACTGCATTCATTCTAAATCTGGTGTTCCATATCCAAGTCGAGCTAGTGCAATATTTAATCGATGCCGTTGAATTGTACGAAATTGTTGTTCTTGTATTTCAATTTCTTTTGTGATGGCTTCTTTTTCATTATTGTGATAATTATTTTGATTTTTTAAATTGATGAGATGATTATCCTTCTTTCTATTAATACTAATCATCGGACTAGAATCTAGACCACGTTTTATTATACTTAAGTATTGAAATAGATTGACAATTGCAACTAATATATCTCTTGCTGGTAATGATATTTTACAATCAATTTCATTGGAATCAGGTGTCTAATGTAGGAAATAGAAAAAAAAGTCATATATTAGCTTTTTAAAGGTAAACAGTAAGTTATCCGTAAATTATTATTGTTATTACTATGATTACTTTTGCATAACCATACTACAAAAAGTATTTCTAAAATAAGCATTCGAATTGCTCCAGTTAAGTAGTTTGCATAACTCAGCATTCAACGAGATAGATTTCTAATAATGCGGATATGGTATGTTTGAAGTATGAATCTAAAATTTTGTTCTATAAGACTGCTAATACTCTACCTGTCGTCCTTTTAGGGTTACTGGCGGTCCAAACCCAGGTAAAGGAGGATTGAGCATGGGCTCATCAGCCTCATCCAGTAGAAACACAACCTTGCTAAACAAACTCTAACCAGAAAAACAACTTAAACTCTGCCCTCCGAGTTGAAAGATCTTCATTCAGTAGAATCATGACACCTCATAGTGAAACCTAAGATTCTGACAACTGCGGCAACAATTGATGTGGATACATGCAATGTCCGGATAATGTGGGAGACTGGAATGATCAGTCAAATAGCAACGGAAATGAGGAGATACAACTTGGCGATTCTCAAAATAAGTGGAACCCATTGTACCTAAACTGGACAGGAAAGGATAGATTCAGAAGAGACGCTGTTGTACTCTGGTCATAAGGAAGAAAATGCTTTACACACTCAATGAGTTGCTCTGATGCTGTCCAAAGAATCACGTAAAGTACTTATAGGATGGGATTCTCATGAATACAGAACCATCAAAGTATCCTTCAAAACAAAGGAGGGGATCACAACAAATACTATCCAGTTATGTACAGTCACCAATGACAGTAATAAAAAAGTAACTGCAAACATGCTCCACATTCCATCTAGGAAGATTTGGAAGGAAGAACAAGTACAGATAGACTAAAGAAGGACACTTCATCAAGATACCAAAGAAAGAGATCTCAGCAAATGTGAGAACTACAGAGGCTTCACACTATTGTCAGTTTCAGGAACGGTTTTCGACAGAATGTTGCTGAACCGGATGAAAAATTCAGTAGACTCCCAACCACCAGATCAACAGACCGCATTGCGTAAGTATTGGTTGTGCACAGACCAAATCGTCACATTATGGATCATCGTTGAACAATCAATTGAATAGAACTCGTAAATATACATCATCTTCCTCGACTATGAGAAAGTAATTGACAGTGTGGATCGGAAGACCTTATGAAACCTTCTTCGACACTATGAAGTGAGAAGCGGAGAAGATCGTCAACATCATACGAAAGTCATACAAGAGACACATTCCAAGTAAGAACGAGAGTCAGACAAGACTACTTACTCTGTCACTTTCTCTTTCTTCTGGTGCTCTACTAGATTATGAAGACCTCGACATCTGAGCGGGAACACGGAATACAATGGACAAGTTGAACGCAACCAGACAGTTCGAACTTTGTAGATGACCTAGTTCTCCTATTCCATACACACCGACAAATATATATATGTATAACTGACTGAGTGTTTCGGTAGAGTCTCCGTCGATAAAAATATGGTTTCTAGATTTGAGATATTTCTTTTTAATTACTAACTCAAAATGTGTGACCTAGGTCATATGACTTCACCGAAACATCCAGTGACATATGGTATGATTTTTTTTTCAAATTATGAAAAATGACACTTCTAATACTTATCTTTGATGATTCTCTAAATCAATTAGGACTGTAGATTATTGAAAAAATTAATTTCTTAACCATTCAACTTACTCTAATTTTCATACGAAATACAGCTTCATATTTTGGCATTAATTCACAATATTCATGACCAACTTTTACTGTTTTATCACCATTATTTACATCATTATTCTGGCGTAAACCACCGCCTAATTCCGGTGTAATTGGTGTAATTTCTAAACCTAATTCTGGTAATGCTTGATAAATTGAAGTAATAAGTTTTTTATTAATAAATTCAAAACAAGGTTTAATATCTTGTAAATATAAACGATAGATAAATTTTGATAAAGGTTTATCGAATGGAATATAATTTGAATTGAATGTTGAATTTGTTTTAACACAATTTATAATTATTGATGAAAAATATTTATCATCAGTTATTGTTTTAATTTGTGAATGATTATGATTATTTATTGAATCATTTGAAATTTCATTAATAGAGACATGATTATTTGATTTAGTTGAATTATTTAATGTAACATCATTTGTTTTTATTAAATGAATAGAATGATTAGATTCTTGGCTTTTAGCATTGTTATCATAGTTATTGTTATTATTTGGAATTTTTTCTACATTATTCACAGAGTTGTGTACACCAAAACTATTGGATAAAGTTAAATGATTATTCCTTTCATTATTATTATTATTATTATTAATGTTTTCATTTTTCTGATTATTAATATCTGTTATGTCTAATATTTGACCAGGTATATTAATCTTAGTCGTTCGTTCATTGATTTCCTTTTTAGTATGTTCTTTTATCTCTTTTTCCTTTGTATTTTCTTGATTACATAATAATTGTTCATTTAATTCTGTAAATGCTATCGTAGGTAAATTTAATGGACAATCATTTTGTATCCATTCTAGAAATTCCTATGTAACAAATAAAATACAGTAATTAAAATGCTAATATACATTGAAATAATAATTATTATTCATGATAATTATTACATTATTATAGGGAGGAAAGATAATATTACTAGCATTGACTTTTGAAGAATTGCATTTTTCAAGTACTTAGAGTAATTCATAATTACTAGTAACTGGGATACTTTTAAATAAAAATTTGTTCTACACGAACTCAACAAACCGACCAATGAACTCACAAAACACTTTAACAAGTACCTACAATAAGATGAAACAGACAAAATACAGGTGTCCGGGAAATGCTTGGTATTCAAGAAACTCATTTTAAAGTAAAATATAGCGACAAAACATAACCTTAATGTATGTAATTAAACTAGCAAATTAAGAGTTTTGAAAATTAATCAAACAGCCAAAGTTGAAAAAAGTTATCGCGGTTATCTTTACAGAAATGGACTAGTATATATTAACAGAAAACTGGATTACCTGACGTCTCCATAGGAAAAAATCAATATACCGTTAAATAAATATAAGTCCATTTGTTTAAGCTGTAATTTTAACTTATCAACCTTATAATTTGCTAGGTTCGAAGCACTTACGAGTTCACTTAGTATGCGAACGGAATAAAGACTTGTGACTTAAGACCGATAAGCTAGATATTCTGATGCGTCCCAGCCCCGCTAACTAGAGGAAAAATTCTAAGCTTGGTATGGAAAAGTATATTCTGCAAACAGCCAGAAAGGAGCGATAACAACAAACACAAATCAAAACGTATATATACAGTACAAAACCCTCTTCGGGGAGAGTTACCAAATAGCATACCAAAAGACGCAACGAACCAATAGTATTCAAGATATTTCCCAAGTGGGAAATACGACATGAAGGTAAAGACAGCGCTTTTGGCGCGAAAACAAAAAAATTCAAATTTTCTAAAAAAAATTATAAAATTAGGTCCTCTCCCAAGTGAGTTCTGGGGACTTAACGTCCCCAACAAAATTTCAAACAATCTAGTATCATACTGTTTAATCGTACACCAATGACTTTGACAGAGTCTATGTGAAACACTCAATTATCATGCATAGGTTAACATAGCAGATGGTAGGCGATAAATATGTAAAATTTTTTGATTATCATAGAATTGGTAGCTAACACGAATAAAATAAGTGATGTAGTTTTGAACCTTCAACCGAATAATTGGCAAATGTATTTTCAAGTAGTTAGATGATGATACGTACGCAATTACGTATATAAATCATCATTTAGGTTCCATATTATTCATATGGAAGTTTCTTATCGCTATAATAATAAAATAAGGTCGTGGAGATTATTAAGTTATTGATCGAGATCATGAACCGTTTATTGTTAGACCACCACTGGAAAACTGGGAGCATTGAACAGCCGTCTCGTCCTGTTGTGGAACTCCTCAGCAGTGCGCATCCACGTTCCTGCTCGCAGAATTTGAACGCAGGGCCTTCAGTCTCGCGCGCGAACGCTCAACCTACTAGGCCACTGAGCCGGCATCCAACGGTGTTAATGTCTAACCTCAACTAATCCATGAAATCGCGCGACCATCTTCAAGTGTACTGAGGTAGATACCTGTCTCTACCCGACACGGATTAGCTCCACTGATCACGGCTTCACACTAGAACTCCGAGAATTCCCTCACGAAGCTAGTCACTACTGAGCACATAGCTATTATCAGTATAGGGTTGTGGAGATTATTAAGTTATTGATTGAGATCATGAACCGATTGATGTTAGATTCTGAGGAGTCCCATAATAGGACGAAACGGCCGTCCAGTACTCCCAGATTTTCAATGGTGGTCTAACATCAATCGGTTCATGATCTCGATCAATAATAAATGTCAAAAAAATAGTTCATGTTATAAGGATATGATTTCATAACATACTGTTGTATATGTTGAATTTTTATTGAGGAATATCTTAATTTTAGATAGGATGTTATCATTAGTACTTTTCTATTGTAAGACATCAATATCAAACATGACAATATAATGCAAGATTCTTGAAACTATATTGATAAGGAAGTATCTGACTTTTTCCAAATATTTCTAAATCATGATATGTTGGACAGAATGGAAGGCCTTACTGTTCATACAACTTGCTCCAGTTGTCTAAATAACCACATTTAATCTGCTCAAATTTCACAGCATTAGTCACACATACAAATAAGTCTTACTGTTTCGCATATCAAACATCGGATTTCTTTCACTCATTCATCTTTGACGTAAATGGCATGATACTAATACTATGTGATTTGTTTTTATTGTGCCAAATGTTTTGATTTGTTGCTTTGTTCTATTTAAACTCATGCTAGCTGAAATCCATAACCACTATTAATTTGTAGAGGTATTTATTGGCATTTTATTACTAAAAACTAGTTTATCACTGAGTAGCCAAATCATATGTGTTACAGCTGATAATTCCTTATAAAAGAACTAATTACTATCCAGAACTGTGATAAATCACTTGTTATACATGATTAATATAGAAAATTCAATGTGATGAATTTGTTACAGTTTGAAAACATAAAATGAATACAATATTTATTGTGTATAGTGAAAATATAGTCTAGTTTTACGACATAAACATAATACAAATATCACAACTTTATATTTATGTTTTATGGCAGTATATATTGGTTCTTGATCAAACATAGGAATCTTAGTACAGAGGAGATGACATGAGAGATTGATACTTGTGAAAAGGTGATATTTTAATGTCTTCAAAAATAATTCTCTATTATATAATGTAATTCAGAGTATGCCATTACTCGTATAATGAATACATATCGGTTAATTGGCCATCATCATCATCATTTAAGTAACGATTTTTATTTGGAAAATAAGTTAATTTTACTATCGGTATTTGAAGTGTACGATCTGCCAGTAATTACCGAAAGAGATAAATGCATTTATATAATTGTTAATCATCGTGTATCAGTAAAAAACCATGTAGAAATAACAAATGCTTTCATCGTGTTTTATGAACTCGTAGTAGGAATTCATCATGGAATTAGACGATGAGACAAAAAAAAATTATCCAGTACATTTTTCGATCAGTTCTGTAAGTAATGTAAGTTCGTATTGGAGAATGTCCAAAAAATATATTATTACTTAAATTATCAAATAATAATGAATTCACTTCCACACTTTGCAAATTATTAATTCATTCCAAAATGATAACACTTAAGAACTATTAATAAATATCAACGATATTCAGAACAAAATATTTTTAACAGTTGAATTCCTAAGTCGATATAAGCTAGACCAACATTGGAAACCTGGAAGCGGTGGACGGCCATTTTGTCCTAGTACGGTACCCACGATCTCACATGAATGATTCAAACCCAGGACCTTCGGTCTCGAGCACAAACTCTTAACCTCTAGATCACTGAACCGGCATCTGACGGTGTTAATACATAACCTCAATCTATTCATGACCTTGCGTTATCCTTCATCCATTGTCTGATGTGGATAACTATTTCCATCCAACACAGATCGGACTCCACCGATTACGGTTTCTCACTAGCACTCCCCTTACTAATAATAATCATGTTCCCACTAATAATTAACTGTAAGATGGAATTCATAGAGTTCTAATAAGAAGTTGTTACAAGTGGAGTCCAATCCGTGTCGGGTGTGAGACAGTTATATTTATTTTCATTACTGATTATAATGTAGACAAACACAAAAATACAAAATGATGCAGATACAGTTTCGACTTTACTTTGGGATTATTAAACAGTTTAAACAAAATGAATTATAAACATTCAAAATAACCAATAAATCATTAAAATTTACTGTAAAACTGTGAGGAAGGACCACGGGTGAACTCGAGGAAGCTGTAAGAGTCTCAGAAGGAGCCAAAGATATTCCATCCAATCAACTTTTGAAAGATTATTCTAGAATTCCTACGTGTAGCTTCCCGATTGGACAATGCTAATAACCCCTTGTATGCGGATTGGAGGACTGTAATGACGATTTCGTTCTTACTAAAAACTATAAATATCTGACAATTTTGTACTATAATTGACACTGTTTGGAATAATATTCCTTTCATTAGTCTTCTGTTTTCTCATTGCGACTTGGAAGGTTTATGGCGTTCTAGTGCTTAAGTTATATGCGGTTTATCAAGAAAACAACCATCTAGATATAACAAAAACTTATAACTGAACTTGAGAATAAATAATCGTAAGAAAAAGTAGGTATTAATAAGTGAAGAAATTATCCACCTACTTCAAATGTATCAACATCTAAATTATTTTTACATGGTCTATGTGTAATCATTGCTGTTAAAAGATCACGTCGATTAAATTGTTCTAATCCACCATATTTAGCATTATTTCGTTTCATTTCCAAAAGATTACCTGTAGCCAATTTACGATGAATTTCAGGTGATTTATTACAAGCTATATTATCATATTTCATCCTGTATGGCAAAAAATACAAAAAAAGATCTAACTAATTATACGATGAAATAAAATATTAATTGGAAATTTATAATGAGGTGTTTTTTCAGGGTGAAATGCACCTTAATTCTAATTAAGACTTCATATCATTTCTTCTTCTAGAAAATTTTCATCAGCAATCTTTTGAAATTGTTGGTTTCTGTCCTGTTATAACCTAAATTTTATTCTATATTAGCCATCTGCCGTGTATTGTGTTACGTATTGTGATGCAGTATAAATCCAGTTAGTTCTAGTTCCCTGACAATTCCGTACACTTCTTAGATTAATCCCGTTGTATAATCAAATACACTTGACAGCTCAGTATCAAAAGTTTGACAAGAAATGTTTTGGGGATAGTTATATTTCAGACGTCGACCCGTTAGGCCACACATATAAATTACGGAGATTGCAAGAAATATGCACCATGTTATGTAACGATCACATTGTATGGCGTGTGTGTGGACTGACATAATAACCAATCAGTTATATTATAAGTCATGTGTTTATGTAGTCCATAAACCTAATGTTAAAATACAGTCATATAAGTAGGCGCATAATATTTAGTAGAACTATAATATTTCTGATCGTGACCTGAGTGTCCTACTACACACCCGTTCAAAAAAGTAGACGTTTGAGTGGGTGTATTCACTATGTGTTCAAAGGCGTAATTTCAGACTAATACAATGGAACCGACTACAACATTTCAGATAAAATAATTGATAATAGAATAAAGTATCTAGTAGATACTTTGGTTCGATATTTTCGATGGTGTATTTTTGTAACTAAAATACTGCATAACTCTTAAATATATTTGGAAAGTTTTCTGCGAGCTGATGTTATTAATCATGTTGATATTTATGACTTATTTTACTCATAAATAACATTTTAATTGTATTCTGATGTCGTATGTTTGAATCTATTTAAAAGGCAGTAGAGATTTATCACTTGTTTCAACATACTCACGAAGTTTGTCTACTAATCCTGAGATTCCGTCTCCACAATTCAACTTTAATATCACCGCCGAAAATTCCCATAATGACTGACTTTCTGCTTAATTTAGTTAGTTCTACTACACTAGGAATCTAAATTATCCAAAATTAAAATCTAATTCATTTAATGATTACCGCATTTCGGTGCATTCTGTTTGGTGTTTTGGAGAAGCCTTGTATAATTTAGGTCTAAACATCATTTTCTTAGAAGTTGACAAGTACTTACAGAAAGCGTTTTATTGTAAATTGGCATCAATAGAAGCATATCATACTAAAGATATTTTCCTAGTAGTCTATAAATACTGATCGCCGTAAATAAAGCTAGTGGAATTGTAATGGATGAATTCCCTAAGTTACATGGTTCCCACCCTATATTTCTAGCTGATTACTGGGTTTCACTGAAAGTATTACTTACTTGCTCATTCGGAAAAAGACGTTCTAATTCATTCAATTCCTTCTAGATCAACCATAAATCGAGACCTATCAATAAGGTAATGTCTCATTTATTGGATCGCATTCCCTTCATGGTGTTGTAGAGTTTATTACTATGTTAAACCCACATGGATTATCCTAGCTTCTAGACAGATTTATTTATTTATTCTTTTCACGTCAAACTCTGGCCTTGTCACTTATACTCTTATTAACCTCGACTGTATTTAATTGAGTGTATGTGTGTTAATTGCTCATCCTCTTCATTACGTGTCTGTAACTTTTTTTGATCTGACCATAAATAGTGAATCACACCTTGTCAAATCCAGTTGGCTGACTCGCCTTCTCCACTGCGCGTCACTTCGTCTCTCTTCTCTCCCTTCTTTTCACTTCCTTCACTTCTCCTTCATTGTCTGTTCAGACGAATGAGTGTACGAAATATACGTATTCGAAATTCCTCCTCATATATACTTGTTGTATTCCATTATTCTCTAACGCGAATTATGTCGATAATAATATATAAGGATTGGCGGCATGTATATTTCGATAACAATCATCATACGATCTGACTGGTGTCAGATATCGGGCCACTAGCGTATATATATATATATATATATATATATATATATATATATATATATATATATATATATATATATATATATAACAATCTTATTTGTTTTAAATATGATGCTACACATGAAATTTCTTAATGTCTGTTTATTTTCTGTCGTATTCTAAATATAACCATTATTATCATTGGTGGTAGTGGGTTCGTATTCTATTCAAAACTAACATCATGACAAGTCTGGATGCTTACTGGATATACCTGAATCCCAGTGTTGATGTTCAAACTGCTACTCAAACCTAGCACCTCTTACTCCAAACCTAACCAGTTATCCACTGAGCTACAGAGTCTAGCTGGACACTGACTTGTTCAAGAGGTAGGAAGTAAGTTGCATCCTGCTGACAAGTTTCAAATAGGATGAAACTCATGTTCTGCATTCCAACACCAGCCACAATCCAGCTTTACTGAGTTCTGTTTCCAATAAATTTAGCTAATAACTAACCAGAAGACATAGCTCATGTTTTATTCAGCCCACTAACTTTGTACAATACTAATCAATTATGTCATATCAAACGATAATTCCCCAAGCAATATCAGCTCACTGTAGTTGACACAAATATTACCTATAAGAACACGTGAGAGGTTAATATTCAATTTCATTGTCTTTTATGGATAGAACAATCAGTTTTCATAACCAGAAAATTACTACTAATTTTGAAGCGCTTATTCATTAAATATGATTCTTAACTGGGTTGTAAGTGAGCACAGATGAGCAGGCTCTCACTAGAATAAAATGGTTGTCTAAACCTTCCTATTTGTCTACTTGAGATTTATCCATAATATAAATTATCATGATTATTTAATCACTTGTTTTTCTATAGTCATTATAATTACTATATTATTTTGTACTTCACCGATTTGCACTATGAGCCAATGTTTCGTTCCTAGTTTTAGGAGTAGATATTTTGAACTTAAATACTAGACAAAAAAATATTATAATGAATGGAATAGTACCAGTAGTAGTTTATCTTAATATTATCAACAGCATTAAACAAATGTTACTTGTGATGGATGTTAATTGGATTTATTTTTCCAATTATGTACTTTATTCTACATTTCGAAGATTGCGATCATTTTCAACTTTTTATCTCTTTTGTACTAAGTACTCATTACCATAATAATAATAATAATAATAATAATAATAATAATAATAATAATAATAATAATAATAATAATAATTGATAAAAATAATAATATCACCACTAGTATTAGCAGTAATAATAATACTATTGATCTGATTATTGATTCATATACACGATGTAAAATTTGTTGACGATGGTTGATTAGACACATATTTATCCATAGCTATAACAACATGTAACAATATTCTAAGAAAAAAATAATATTTTTAACATGAAGTAATCTAATCTAAATTATACTACTATCTAATAAGACTTTCTGAGTAGATATTTATAATTTTTATCAAACAATCTAGACATTCCGTTGTGTATTTCGACAACATTAAGAATGTGTGCCTTCATTGTTGTAATTCTATTCACTTAGCAATATTTGTATTAGAACCATAGAATTTATTAATATGGGCATCATATTTATTATGATTAATTTTTTTTAAAAAGACATTTTAGTTGTGATATAATAACTTTAATTGATACATATTAAATAGCTTAACTAAAAGTCATTTAATAAGCGAAAATTACTTTGACAGTTATTGTATAAGCATTACTTTTATAACTACTGATAGGTACTGGGGAAAATAAATTTTAGTTAAATATAGTTATATTCATATTTGAAGTGTCAAGATCAGTCACTCACTCACTCACTCAACTACAACGTAGGACCAGGCACATATGTTCATCGGTCCAAGTTGCCATACCTCATTAGCACAACAAGATGAACACCGGATTTATAGAACTAGTTAATTTAATGGTGGTATTATATAAAAGAAAGATTGCATATAAGGACATAGTACAGGAAGAAAGAATTAGTACGTAGAAAGAAAGGTATGAAATAATTTTATTCTGATAGTTTAAAGGAAGACAGAGAGTGCATACACCGACGCCATTGCGATCGATTCTGAGCCTTGTCATCCAGAGTCTCCAACTATTGGTTACGATAGTCATGCGGACCCCAACCAAGTAGTCTGTGGTGTCTGTCATTATGTTAAGCCCAAATACCTTATTATTCTAACTTTCGGACGGCCCATTCTATTCATTCTATTTGAGTCACATTCTGACCTTGTTAATTATTCGCTTATCAATATCTTGACTGTCTTTGTATGAGCGCGTAGGCGTATGTACACTTCTTATCCCGTTACTCATCACATGTCTGTAATTTATTTTTGTGGGCTTATAAATATTGATTAACTCTTTGTTAAGCGGGGAGTTGGCTTACCAGCCATCTCCACCGCTCGTCAATTTAGCTTCGCTTTCTTCTCTTCGCATCGTTCCTCCGTTCGTTTGTCTAATCAACAATTATACAAAATATATGCATTCAAAACTCCATTCTCGTTATTTGACTTATTTAATTCCGTTATTAACTAACGCGACTTAAGTCAATGATTATATACGAGGATAGACGATAGCAACCAATCATTACGATCAAATTGGAGTCAGATCACGGGCCACTAAAAGTCTGCATCTTCCAACATGGCCTGCACCAGACGTTAGTGACTTCAAGCACTGATGCCACGTTTTGGTTTTGCCGCCCCTACCTTTCTTCCAACCATCCCCAACACTAATTAGCATTGCGCGTCGTGGTAATCGGTGTTTAGGCATACGTAACACGTGGCTTACCAACTCAGTTGATGATGATTCACAACCTCATCAACTGATTTATCATCATTCCCTAATACCCTATGTCTAACCTCACTATTGCTTGCCCGTTGATCCCAGCAGACGCAAGCAATATTTCTAGGGCATCTGTGATCGGATACTAATAACTTACGAGTATCTTCAACCCTTAATGCCCACGTTTCACAGCCGTAATGTAGAACAGAACGAACTACCGCACAGTATACTCTTCCCTTAATTGATGACGGATATCTCGCCTTCGTTATAGGTGACGTAAGTTGGCAAAAGCCAAACGAGCTTTTTGAATCCCTGCTGAGATTTCATCAGACACCAACTCATTAGGGTTGATCAGACTTCCAAGATAAGTGAAGTTGTCAACGCGTCCGACTACTTCACTTCCTATTCTTAGTTCAAGTGTTGACACAGACCAGTCCTGAAGCAAAAACTTTCATTTAGAGGGAGAGAAACGCACTTCAAACATTCTGGCATTGTTGATCAGTGCAGTCAAAAGTCTGCATTTAATTAGCATATTCAATAAGTGGACCTCCTGGTAGGAGATCAATACCCGAAAATTCAGTCAATGAGAGTGTTATTTCCATCAGCATGTCTGTGTTGAAGTTAAACAAGAATGGAGAAAGTGGACAGCCTTGACGGACACCACTTGTGGTTGCAAAAGCAGATGACAGTTCGCCATAAGCTCTCACTCGACTAGTAGTGTACGAGTAAAGAGCCTTCACAATGTTTATGTACTTCTGAGGTACGCCTTTCAATGACAGACACTGCCACAGAACCTCTCGGTCAACAGAGTCAAACGCTGCTTTTAAGTCAAGGAAGACCACCATTGTCGGACGCCGATAAGTATGCCTGTGTTCTAGAACCTGACGAATGGTGAATATGTGGTTGATGCAGCCACGACCAGGTCTGAAGCCAGCCTGATTTTCTCGTGTTTGCAGTTCACGAGTCTTAGTTAGGCGCTCGATAATTATTGAGGCTAGTATTTTAGATGCTAGATTAGTTAAACTAATCCCTCCATGGTGATCACAGGATGGTTTTGATCCTTTCTAATATATTGAGACAATCAGCGATTGCGAACAGTGAGATGGGATTAAGTCCAACTCCCAGAATTGAGCTAAAACATTAGTCAATCTAATCTCAAAACTGGACTACCATAGATAAAGACCTCTGGAGCCAAAACTTCTGGACCAGCTGCTCTTCCTTGTTTCAGACTAGCTATAGCTTTCTGAAATTCAACTACTTCAATTTCCCGTTCACACTGTCTTGGAATGGAGGGTAGTTGTAGAGTGGCTGAAGGCCAGCTGAAATTCTCCCTAAAATGTTCCGCCCAACGTCTGCACTGGAAGAAGATAAGAGTGCCGTCATTTCCTGAAATAGTCTCACTAACACTTGACTTATTAATCCTAGTTTCTTTTGTGAGTCTGAAGATCTGTCTTGTGTTCCCTATAGCCGCCGCCTTTTCCATCTCTTTTGCTTTCGTTGCCCACCACTGCTCACGGTCGTTCCTTAGACTTTTTCTTAACCTAGGTCTGATGTGTTTTCGCTCTTCGTCGTGTTGAGAGCCTGATGGGATAAGGTTACGAGAAACCATCAGTGCAATGGACTTAGAAGAAATTCATTAACAATTGTCTCTGCTGTTTCCATATCTGTTTCTATATCTTTCCAAGCAACATCTGGGTCAGAAAGAGCGACAATCTTCTATCGACCCTCTCCAACAATGATTGATGGCGATATGGTCTATTTGAGTCGATCGTTGGTATGGTGCAGAGGGTCGCTATGTTACACGATGCCTACCCTGGTACTTAAAATCAGTGCCTGCTAAACATAAACGATTGTCTGAACACAGTTGCAGTAGGCCATCATCATTATCTGTCCGCTGAGCCCGAATACTAAAATACCCACCTAAATGTCTTTTTGTTTGATTTAAGCTACCTTCTTGGGCATTATATTCACCTGCTACGAGTACTATGTCTGAACGTTTAGCTCTCTGAAGAAGTTCAGACAGCTTTCTGTAAAATTCATCCTTCACTTCTTCTGGACTGCAGTGAGTGGGAGCTTAGGCAGAAATGACAAAAATGCAAGGACGTGTTTCCTTATTTTTCCGAGTCCTCACAAAGCCATTTAATCGAACAGCACATAGGTGATTGTTAACAGGGATCTATACTAATAGTGTTTGTTCTGCTCTCATACTTAGTGCTATGCTTCACCCACAAGTTCACGGGAACTAGCCATCGGGTCGCCAGATCCTGTATGCGTGTTTCGGAGACACAGCATACATCAATGATACGAGATTCTAGAGTCTCAGTCTAGGAGGCCTGCTGGTCGATTTGACATAGGGTGTGTACGTTGAAGACTCCAATGTGTAGTTTGGAGCGAGGTTTCAGTATACCTGGGACAGTGTTTTGCCCACTAGAATCGTTGGCCATGGTGACACTTGAGTCGAAAGCCAAAATAGTTGAAAGTCGATGTAGGTGGAATAACAGGAATTGAAGAGGGAGATTGATTATGAATACAGTGGTCTAGAGTGCTGTCGAAGTTATAAGGGCAGTTATCACTTCCAGGTTGCCCACGTCATGGAAGGGTTCTTCTTCCAAAGTACCTGAAAAGGAAATTGGACTAGAGGTGGTCATAGTGACCTGAGAGCGTGACCACATTGCCCAAGATACAACTGCTTGAGGTCGGTCACTCACGACATTTTTGTGGGTAGTTTTTGTGTTTGTTCCGTACTCTTTGCGACCTTACCACCGGAGACAGAAATCCGTGGGATAAGGTGTGGTGGGCACTTTTATGTTCCACCTTTTCTAGCCTCACCACTCTTTGTATGAAAGCAACATTGCTGTTGTGCTGGTTGTCTGAAACATACCCCTACTGCCGTCACATCTCTATGCAGTCAGCCGTACGACTTCGCCTTTGAACCTTGGATTTGTTGCTTTTATTCTTACCGCTCTTCAACTTACCTGTCTGGCATGGTGGGACTTTGAGGAACGATTGTTCCGGCCAGTGTAGATTGATTGCTTCATTACGATAGGCAAGTCGGACCACCACGTCAAGTTAGCAAAAACGGTCGGGAAGTGTAAAGATACCTGGATAATTATTAGTAAAAGAAGTCTGTGGAACGCTCTGGTAATACAAACTTAGTTTGCTACAAAGTAATAAAGTTTCAGGCTTTTCGGGAATAATGATACTTTTGGACCGTTGATTTGAGATTTAATGATTTATACTTCTAACCTTCTTTTATTCTCATTATTTTTTTCCGTTATCACATGTTTATACTGAGAGTAAATAAATGTATACGCTTTACACCTAACATACTAATCACAAACAGGTGAAACGATTTTTCATCAGTCCGTACCCGCTGCTCCATATAAATAGAGTCAGGTCAATCACATTCAAGATATGTAGTATGTTACACCTAAAGCAATGAGGGAAACGCAACGGTATGGATTCCTATCTTATGTCAAGTTGTCATACTACTCTATTCTCACATAAGATGATCATCAGTTCACGGTGAAAATTAGTTTTAAACTATCCACACACCCTTACAAAACACCTTTTGTAATTAATAATTAATTGTTCACTAGTGACTGTCTTCCAGATGACTCTTCGAACGTTTTAAGAGAAATTCACAACTAGTAAAGAAATCAAACTGCGTATGGGACAGATATACATAGATAACGTAGACAGAGGATAGTGCTGTATCACAGATTGACTGAAGCTACAAATGTGTACCACTGGCTTTAGGTTAGACGTCTAAGTAAGTACTGCTCGCCGCGAATCATAAAGGCAATGGGTTCACTTCTACGTGGAATCATGAGTGAGAACTGATGGGAAGGCTACGAGTACGATGAAAAAGTTACATACTCTGCTCCTATTTCCAATATTTTTTCAGCTGGTGCAAAAACTCTCATTTAGACATTCATAAAAAGATGAAAAAAGCGTTTGGTTAAGTGTTTTTTTCATATCGAATCGCTAAATAATTAAACCAATGTGGAATTCAAACGACCGTTCTTCAAGTTGTCACCCTGGGGTTAAAACAACACATATATAAAATCTGCCCTTTAAGTTGTTTCAAACTTACATATATCTCGTTTTGACTGTTCTTATTTTCACCAAAAAATCATGAGATTTTTTATTCTTGTAATTGTCAAGTGACAAATTGCAACAAATCAGTTAATTTTTATAGGTTAATCTCAATCAGTAATGGGATGAGAAACATTGTTTATTAAGGTTTGTGTAATCAAATAAGACAATCGAACGTGGAAGAGCGTTGACCTTTATATTGAAAATTGTAAAAAGTACTATCTTCAATAGAGATACTTTAGTAAATTTATAAGTATTTGGCTTACACAAGGAACCTATAGTTTAGTATATATATATATCTTAGACACCAACACAAAATGAATGTTACACTTTTGTGTCATAAGAAAATCGACACAAAACAAAAAGTTATATTTACACTCAATTGACAGAATAAACGTATTTGAATATTGAAGTAGTAAAGATATCATACGATACTAGGAAAATATATTGTTTATAAAATAAATACAGTTGATAACAACGCTTATTATTATCTTATGTTTTTTCATAGATCAACATCTTTAATTGATTACTAGGATGGATATTTACTTATTTATTTTCTTGCTAAAATAAAAGATCTTGCCGATTACATAAGAAGGGGTGACTAGAAAGACACTATCTTTAAAAGTGCTATTTTGAGGGAAGTACAGGTTTTAGTTAACGAAATAAAAGTGGCGAAACTATAATTTATGGACTAACCAATCAGATTTAGGATAACAGGTTTTGGCTAAATAGCGTTTCGCTATTTTAGTTGATGTCAGTTCGTGATGAAAACCCTAAATCTATTTCCTAACCCTAACTGTCAACTGTAAATCATAATTCTAATTCCTTACATTGGTTTATAACCCCTAGTCCTAGTTAATAGGTGGGTATTCTCAAGGTCACTTTAGCGTCGCTCAAAGATCTCCATAAAATATTGTTTCACCATAAAAATTTCTTTTACTTTGTAGATACTCTTTGTTCATGCTAAATACTAAAATGTCCAAGTATAAAAAAGTATAAAGAAATCAGGTTTGAAATTTTTGATATATATATATATATATATATATATATATATATAACGAAAATAAAAAACTAACCTCGTACTATATAAAGAGTTTCTAATCTTTTGATTTGTTATGCTTGATGATAATTCAGCAACTAACAATTTTAATGCACGAACTTCCGATTGAAGTATCTAGAATTAAAATTATTTTGAAAAGAAATAAACACCTATGTCATGTGGAGAATATGAAGTAATTAAAAAAAAGACAGAATGGACCATTAGTACAATGCAGAAGACCCATTTTATTTGTTTAAACAACAGTACAATAACAAGCTTGTGCTCAAGTAGATATTGATATTGACATGGCAACGGTGTAAACATATTTTTTTGTAAATGATTTGTAAAATTCATCTGTAATTAACAAACATATATTTTGTTGAAAGTTCGACTGTGATTTTAGAGTTCAATTGGTTATGAGAAACTGAGATGTTTTTCACACAAAACGTTTGCTGTATAAATATGAGTCATAATTTTAAACCTTGTCAATAAAAAATGAAGCCACTTAACTTTATGATCTAAATAAATAAGAAAAATAATCTGTTGTTGGTGATGAAAACATTCTTATTATATAACATTCAGAGGAAATCGAACTTATGTTTTCCTGTTCGCCTTTCACTTTGATATTTCTTAGAGTGTGCTTCGTCAAATGGAAATGATTATGTGTTAATACTTAATATTAACGTCTCATATATATATATATATATATATATCGTCGTTAGTAGGTTTAATTGTATTTTCACTTTAATTGGGGATCAGTAACAGTGAAAATTAAAGTATACGTCTGTATTCTACTTTGAAATCAACTTAATGTACTTATATATCTTATAAATATTGGTGTTACCACTGCAACTCAAGTAAAATAACCATTTTGAGCATCATATGGTTTTCTTGTCATGTCTGGTCCCATGTCAAGCTCATATGGGTTATTCTAGATTTTGGACGGACCGATTTATTCATCTCTACAAGTCACATTTTGACCTTGTCAACTATTCGCTTACTAACCTTGACTGTTTTTATATCAGCTTATGTGTCTTTATTGTATATCCTACTCATCATATGTGTGTAACTTATTTTTGGTCTGACTATAAATACCGTGTCACACTTGATCAAATCGGTTTAGCCCACTTGCTTTCTCTGATTCTCATTTTGAATGTCTGTCTAGGTAAACGAATGCTTGGAGTAAATCCCTCCAATGCAATCCATATTTGGCTTTTTATCACCGCCATCACACAAACGGGATTAACCTAGGTGATATGTGGAATTAAATGGGAGATTTATGTTCATAGCATTCTTGTACGATCGAACTGGAGTCAGATACTTGGCAACAAAATCTTAATGAGCTGTAGAGCTAAAACCATCATTTCTTGTTAAACGATTATTAAGTTGTTTATATGGAAACAACATTAACACATCGATATGGTTATTAAAATAAAATCCCAGAAATTCAAATTCTATTAACAACTGGTTTCATATTGGTGGCAGAATACCATTTTGAGACGTAATGAATTGTGTGATGAATTAGGGCCTTATTTTGATCACAAACAGACTAGAATGGAACCATATTTATTAGAATAATTCATAATTCAAAGTAGAATACTATTATTGAACTACAACAAATTCACATTTAATTTTTTTATTTCTCTCATTGTATTTACCAAAAGTACCGTATCTATTTCGAATTTCATTTAGATCTATCAACTGAATGTCCTTTTTAAAGACGTATTTCGCTTATTTTATAATTTTCTATGCAGTTTGTTCAACATTCCCTATCCCTGAAGCTTAATACTTTTAGAATTGCAAACTAATCTATTGTATACACATAGTTCCCTTTATAAAATGAATTCATATTGTTCTGCACCAATCTTTGTTCTTGCTCTATTTAATCTCTTGTAAGTGACTAATTCCGAGTGGTGTTTTGATAGCAGGATGAAAATTGCATAAATCCCCCCTACCGGCAAGCACCAGTAATTGCGTTCCGTTAATAGCAACTAATTGTACAGGAATTTTAGGGGAAAAGACACTTCCTGTTCACTTCAGCGAAAGCAGGTTCAGAGAGGCGAAAAATTGCAACACAGTAACTAAACGCTAATCTTTTAGATCACTGGACTATAACTTCATGATAATGCCAAATTATAATATCACGTCATTTAGGTTAGTGATAATATCTTTTTATTTTCATGAAGCTAGTCAGTATTAACGACTACATAGTGTTTCAATATTTTATTTTTACTAACCAACTAGTTTAATTTTCTACAATATTTGCACATATTAAATCCAAACCGAACTATATAATGAATAAGATTACCTCATTTTCTTGAATTTTCTCTTTGGCCTGTCTAACGGCATAATGTTCTTTAGATAAGGCTTCATGGACCTTTTGATAAACAGAGTAAATGAATAGTTAGTTTTGAATTGATAAAATGGCAAATCAGTAGAACCATTCGAATTAAAAGCAAATATTTGCCCCATTACTTTCCTAATCCATCACGAGTGAGTTTTAAAGTGTCAACAAGCAATGATCACAGGTGTTATTAGGTGTTATATACTACTGCTCGTGTATTGCCCACTAAAAAATGTGGTGTATTGGTCTGTTAAATACCATATTAGATATATTGAAAAATAAGTCAGAATAATGGTAACGACTACCTGTTATTCAGTGTAATTAGACTCATAATTACTATTTGTAGCAGTTGGATTATTTCATTTACTTATTGTTTATCAGCCAATCTACCATAACTTCTCAGGCCGAAAACCAGTTACTTAATTTCGTCATATATTTATGACTTGTAATTTCTTTACTGTCTTGCAAACTAATTATCAGTACTACATGTTATGAAGGGACAAGTAAAAGAAAATAAAACATTTGGCAAGTTATTCTCCGACGAATCAGTTTATGTATGTTTAATAAGTTTTAAACAAAACACTTGATTTACGGCACTTTTATATGGTCAGGTCTATATTGCAGTGCATCTTTTGATTCAATAACTGATTCAGTATCTGTTCCTGATTTTAATTTCCAGTCTATTAAACATAATTGTATTGTCCAGCTCTATGTCAAAAATTTCCAAGTTATACACATAGTGAGATTTACTATTTACAATGCCTTGTAGTTTTATATTTTGCACATATTATCACGTGAGTTATCATCCAATGTAGAAAAGGTACTTGTGACAACTAAAATGGCTTTCTGACTTTGTCGTTGGATGCATGGGCATGTGAGAATTGGAGTAGGTAATCGACTGGATGCCGAATACAGTAAACACGTCAGTAAACTGATTGTCAGTGGCTTAAGCGGAAAAACATAACGTCAATGAGGAATTTATTCCAAATGTCGTTGAGCACTCTATTTTGATTCATAAAGAATCAAATAAATCGTAACTATTTTGTCACACCTGGTAGATTATAGGAATGAGATTGGCAAATCTGAATCACTTAAAACCAACTCTTATATTCCGTATGTTGTTCCAACGAAACCTGAACTTGCTTTTTACACGAAGCACAATACGTGGGTTAAAACATCTTTGTATTTACACAGCTTTTGAAGTAAATTTCTTAATTTAATTGTGAAAGAATACTTAGTCATCAACTTTACCATTTAGTTCATAACTCAGTTGGACTTCACCATTCTCAGTCATCTTGTTTATATTTACATACTTAGTCTCTTAGCATTATTAACGTTTTAATAGCTATCGTTTAAGTTGGAATCTAAGCTTAAAATCAAAGTTGGTATTCATTTTATCCACTTATCTCCACTATTCACATCACGAATATGATACGTGTCAACGTATGTACATTTGGTACCACTCATATAAACTGGATTGTTATCAATGTTATTGATCATTTTGGTTGATTTTTCATACTATGATTTAGAACAACATATATAAGCGAACAATATTGTTTTGGATTAGATCCTCATCAGACTTTATTCTAATATTCAGTATATTAGAGTAAAGACTGATGAGGATCTAATCGAAAACTATTGTTCGCTTATATATGATGTTCTAGATTTTTCATACATAAAAATGATAATAACAGTAATAATAATAATAATAATAATAATAATAATAATAATAATAATAATAACAATAATAATAAACATAGCAATTTATGATGTTTGTCGAATATGGTTATATGATTGTGTGTTTAAGTGTAAATGCAATGAATTTCATTGTGTAAATCATAAAATGAAGGAATCATCTTAGTAAACTATGTGAACGAGACTAAAATGTGTCGTTAAAATTGACGACCAATAAAAAGTTTACAATAAGAAATATCATTTCAAATTTAATATTGCAGCATATTGGGACTCCTATTTGACTGGAATACTTCATTATTGAGTCAAAATTGTACACTGCAGTAGTTAATAACTATTTGATGCTATAGCAGCTATTCGCAATCCAAAATCAATAGTCTTCATCATCAAATATGACTTTTGTTATTTTCACTACATTTGAACTCTAGATGGTCTTCATGACGAATTAATGAATTCGTCTGTATACTTCAAAAAAGTATTTATTAAATAATTGCTTTAAGATATGGTCAGAAAGTCCTGTTTAAAACCTCTATAAAATTATGAATCAATTTTATATCTTTCAATTCAAGTTTACAATTTAACTGACTTCTCATTTTCTAGGTAAAGTAAATATTCACTCTCACCTATAGCCAATTATATTTAAGTTATGAGAGAACTTCCTTTAAAACAAAAGTTATTCGTTAAGCGATGCTCATTAACTGAGTGATTAATAATAATCCTTTTTCTATTTGATCCTGATAACCAACGAAAAGATATTACAATATATATCCAGATTTTTTTCACTTACCATTCTGTTTGCTTCTTCAAACAAAGTGGCATTGAGCTCCATGCATTCACTATTCATACGTTCAATGTAAGATTTTAAACTGATATTTTCTTCGGAAGTAAGTTTAACCTTTTCTTCTAAGCTAATCATATCATTACAAGTCTAAAAATGAAAAATAATGATTGGAAAGTAATTAATACATATTCAAAATTTAAGGAGAAAATGAAGAGGATGTATCTATGTTATACAATAGAAATTTTATAGATATGGCACTTAATCTTGTTTAGGTTGGCTCCGGACTGGAAAACAAGTAAGAAAGTTTGACTCACTAATCACGATAGTAATGTGCAAAAATACATATTGTTGTTTATTTTATCCATATTATGTCATAAAGAAAAAACAGTATAGAGTATCAATTTTACCAACGATTGTCTAATTGCTCGACATTCATTAACAGATCTTCATAACGATGGTCTTAATATTACATTTTTCACCGTTGAAACCCATGTTCAGCACCTACTATATCTACTTCAATTTAAACACCAAGTTAGTGTGTCCAATGTTGACAAAGAATACAAACCATTACTTTCCTAATGAGTTACAATTACTGATTGTTGTCACTTTCATTCAGATAGGTATTTCCTTCCTTAATTTTTGAACAACAATCAAACGTAAATATTACAACGATACTTCATTTCTGAAAATACATTTTGCACATTTTTATTGTTTATTTTATTTTTAACTGCTGTCTACATAATATGTTTCTCTACTCAAAAATCAATTCGACTAGTCAATCTTTATGCAACAAATCTAGGTGAACAACAAAGTCTATTTACATACCAATTTAACAATTAATATTTGTGCTATTTTTAAGGTCACTACGTGTAAATCAATGAGCAGGTGATTGTTACAATAAACGGTCAACAAGAGAATGTAAGAGCCTACTTATAAATACTCGATCAATTCACACATTACAATTTTCGATATTATAGACCTTTAATTTTTCTCACTCCTATTATACCACCAGGTGAAGATAATTCCGAAAAAACATAATAGTTCCTGTGGAGTTTTCCTGATGCCCTATTGCATCATATATATTTTGTATAACAAATCATATTTATTTGTTATACATCAAGTCATTTATTTTAAATAAACTAAGTGGTTTATAAAACTTAGTTATGTAGCGTATTTATGATAGACTCATATGTTAACAAATGGTCCTGAGTCATTTCGCCCGAATTCTCCAACCACTAATCGCGGTTATCATGCGGACCCTAAACAGGTAATCTGTATCAACTTATGTGCCTCAGATCAACGGTCAATAACTTCATGGATTGTAGCTATGATTTCGTTTAGTCACTCGTCAAAATACGTGGTGGCTAGGCATACGTAATACATGTCTTAAATACCTCCATCGATGAAGTTGAAATACCATATAGATTGATTTTCCACCTTTGCCTAGATTTAAGTGACCAGAGCCTGGTGTTCCCTCACGTTTTATATTACTCATAATCTTTTCGACATCATTAGAAGTTGGTAAACTTGTGTCAATCAATTATTGAAGTTGGTTAGGAAAACGCGTAACTGGAGAGTTTCTGGAGGTCATTTGAACTGTTCCCTAATGTGTTTAACCCATCTATATATCCTAGATTGAGGGTGAATGATAGTTTGGTCTTTTTCTGACATAGTCTTCCTTCCTTTTTAATATCAGTGTCTTTGATATTGTCTTGTGTTTGTAAAATTAATAAGGATATTTTAAATATCAATAAGCTTGGAAACAAAAAGAAATGCAGTAATGAATTATTCTTATACATTTTTATGACACTCATAGTGACTATCATATAATATCGGGTTACTGACATCATTTTTCTGACTATTATTATTATTAACATGATGATGAAAGATGTTTGTCTTCGAATATAGTTTAATGATAACTGTCTTCTGAATTACCATCATTATCATTATTGTTATCATTAAATGAAGCATGAACACAGACAATAAAAGTAGACAAATAAAATGCAAAAGTATTAAAAATACAGATTCTTATCGATAAAAATGATAATAAATCTTGTTAATTTCATGAGATTTTTAGTGATTTACTCTGTTCAATTTTATAGAATCTAAATGAACTGAATTCGTTGACGATGATGAATTTCTCATTATGAGGTGACATAATTTTTAACCAAGCATAACCTAGGACTTTATTGTAATCTAATTGAAAATAATTAAGATTAAGCTTTAATCATCATTCTACTATAGTACTGAAATCTATAATCATTTATCAACTTTTATTTAATTTTAAATAACACTACTGTGATGTGAGTTACTTATATCCACGTAAGTAGTATATAACGCTGATCAGGGACGGAATATATTTCAGCAGAAGATCCAGAAGGAAAGAACAGGAACAGAAAGCAGTTGGTATGAAAATGTATGAACAATAAAATTTGAAACAATCGATTGATATTTTGCAAATTAACTATTTACAATACGGTTCTAAAAATTTGGTGCAATATTCTGTAATTTTGTGCTCAAATACATTCGGTTGTTCGCGCTCGTATTCTTGTTCACTACACTGCTACTTCGCTTCACCATAATCAAATCGTTTAAGTTTTAGCCGATAAACAATTGCGGCGGGTTTTGGTAAGTGAGTTTATTAATTTAGTAATCAAATATTTTCCTAAATTAGAAAAACAATAATCTCTTGAAGAAGTATGATCGGTTAAGACACTATTTATATCAGTTTAGGGGTTGCGGAGATTGTTAAGATTTTGATCGAGATCATGAAACGATTGATTTTACCAATTAAAGAGTAACATGTTACATTTACATGTTTGTAGAGAAAAACATTTATGTCTCATTTGCTTAACATTTGGTAACTGTTTATAACAGAATATTATTATATTTAATCGTTTTATCCATATAACTTGTCTATTTTTACAAACTGTAAGGTAAAAGAAATGATATGTAATTTATATCAAAGAGTTGAGATAATAAAAAGCCAAACTATACTGACTAGTCTAAACCATTTAAGCCATTCTACTGATATCCTGATGCTTATGAGGGAAGGCGCACACTTTGTAATAGTTTTCTATGTGCAACAAACGATCATAAGACATAGTTGATGAATTTAAATGACAAAATACAAATTTATATGTCCTATCATATAAGTCATCGGAGTACTGACGAGAGCTAGTTAAACAATTAAGTGGAGATTGATATTTGACAAAAAGTTTTAAAGAAGTAATGTAAGTCACTTGACAAAGTTATATTGTTACATACATTGTATATTATTACCGCTAAACTATAGAATGCTGAAATTTCGGTCTCAGTGAAAATAAGTCAAAGTTAAGCTAAAGTTGGTAAATCCAAAAGATGATTAGTACTCAGTGAAATCGACGTGAGTTAAGCTTAACTGGGTAGGAGAATGTATGTGAAACCTAGTGGCATAGTTGTTCCTTATTAAATACAAAACAACAATGATCAATCACATGAATCAAAAAGTAAACAGTTATTAAGAAATCCGATTTTAAAAACTAAAAAAACGTTATGAAAGTGTAGTATGATTAAAAAACAAACTAACTCTTATTGATAACAATTGAATAACATTTTATTACAACACTATACACGAAATGGTTGAAACATTTTATGAGTTCCGATTTTCAGAAATAAAACTGTATATTATGAACATTGAAAATCCGTATAGGATCGATTTTCATGAAATTAAAATGTAGATTATACATTTCAATCATATTTAATAGTATGTACAAACATACCATATTAATTGGTATAAAAATGAAACGACTCAGGTTACAAAATTTTACGATAATACATGCTTAGGGTGTGTAAACAATATGATGTTTCAAGTGTAGAGAGGAAGGTAAATATTGATTTTTTTTAAACAAATGTCCATATTTTTTGAGGGAGATATGATTGTTCTGTAAGATGGACGCTCTTCAGTTCCTTAAACAAGTGAATACAAATGGAACTCGGGAGTCCTGTATGCTACCGAGCTTATAGTTGTTTCAAATCGGTTGTAAGAGGCTGGAGGCCTTACAAGTTACTGTGAGGCTTTATCAGTCATTACATAAGGTGGTGACCATGGTTATCCAAGCATCGCTGTCATGAGTTATTGCTTTCATTTATTCACTGAGCTGCCTTGGATGAAGTAAGAAATAGACTGGTTAGTGGGATTTAGCAAGTGGTTTATAACATTCTTGAATATCCTTCATGTGAACCATCGTTATGGCCTCCTATGATTTCGATAACGTGAACCAGTTAGCCCAAGGGTGTGTTATACTGAGCGAGTGATACATTATTGTTTGGTTATCATACATATACCTAGCCTCGCAAAACTAAAAGGCTAACACTTGATAGGTGCTCTTTTTCAGGAGAGGGTAAAGTGTTAATCACGGTTATTGATTTCGATATCGTGAACAATTTTATAGAGTAATAACTTCAAACCAGTAATCATATTATATCAAATTCTGTACATGTTACTCGGGATATAAAGACCAAGAACTGATATACACCTATTATGCTGAGTAACAAGAATCAACAGATCTGACTGACTCATTTTACTTTGAATTACTATTGATTTTTGTCCAACTACTTCATTACGCATCAATTACTTTTTTCATTTTACTACTGAGTCTGATGATCTAGAATCTCCTCTCACATATTATATTTATTTAAAACTGCCTTGAAACGTTTTCAATCTCATTACATTTGTTCGAATCGTCACTTCACTTCTTATCAGTAATGTTAACTTAATGATAATTTTGATTTTATAATATTACAGGTTGTAAGCATCACCCGATGAGATCCTAATGAAATAAAATGAATCGATATTATTATTCTCAATTCTCTGTTCTGATTCTTAAGAAAATATTACCATTCGGGATTTATGTTTATGGCTGATGTGGTGAAAAACACAAGCATCAATCCCATTTACTTTATAGTCTATTTCTACTGCATCATTTTGTATGTAACTGAAAATAGAAACAGGAATTCTTGTTGATTGCTCATAGTCAAAAATCTTTATCTACCATCAGTTATTTGAATATCATCAGTTGCAAATAGAAAGTTATAAACAGATTGGTGGATATAAAAATCATGGATTACATGAAATCAATTATACATCATCTTTAAGTGTATGGAAC